TAAATAAAAAAAAAAAAAGCAAAAACGATGATTCTGAATTACTATCATTTTCATACAAAGTTGATATTTTCACATCTATTTATTTACATTTGTGTTCTTTTTCACAGTGAGGGAAGAACTGTAAATCAGCCATCTGTCGTACTTAGAAGAATCCAAGCATTGTCTATTAATGGTCCATTGTTTTCTATTTCATTTCTTCTTTTCTGGATTTCATGGGGCAATCCTACAATTCAATTTATCGTGTGTCTATGTTTATATGATAGTTTTCTTACAATGGTGGATCTACATCATACAGCATTATTGGCTGATTTAGCTCTAAGCGCCACTGAACGGTAAGAATTTAATCTTAATTATGTAGCCACTGGTTGATGATTATGTTAGGGTATCTGTAACACTGTGGTGCAAGATGTGCATAAAGGCAGTATGGTGACTGGCGAGATGTTACAGAGGTCATCGCCATCCTGTACTGCCTGAGTGCATACTTTTCAGTCTTCTCTAAATAATCTTATTAATATAATCACAAGTGTAGTCACAATTTAGTGAAACATAAGAATCTAAATTGCAACAAAAATCATTTTACAAGATTCATGCTTGTGGTTCAGTATTCCAATGTGTTGTATTTATGACACAGATTTCCCTAATGGGAACTTTTACGAACGACTGAATTCTTTTGCTATCAGATGTATTATTGTGAAAAAAGAGTCAAGTGCATTTTTTTTTCAGTCATTTTGGTGGACAATAGAAAATGTGTTGACCCAGAAAGTTTGAAGGTCACATGATTTTCTTAGATACCAGTACACTGATTCGAGATATGAGTTTTGTGTCTCTGAATACTGTTACTGAACGGAACAATTACAACATGAGAGAAGGGTCAAATATTCTACAGGCATGGTATAACTACCGGTATGTAATATGCAATGATTACTGTTCTACTTCATTTCAGAACAAAATTAAATGGTTATTGCTCTGTATTCAGTGCTTTGGGTTCACTTTCTGTGTTTGTATCGTATTTCTTCTGGGACCGAAACAGCACATTCCTGTTTCAAGTATTTTGTACTGGGATTTCTATGTTTTCAATGATTGGTTACTTTGCTGGAAGTCGCTTACTAAAACAAGCCTTTATAGAAGTCATGAACAAAGAAGACATGATGCAATTACAAAGGTAAAGAAAATGACTTTTTGTGCTGATATATTTATTCAATAATTACTTGATGAAATCCATTCTGGTGCAACCTTTAACGCGTCAATAGATTTTTGTTGTTTAAATATACTCCACGCTAGTCAAAATACGAAAATATGGGCCAAACCCGAAACAAATTGCAACAGAAGATATTTAAGCTGTTTTTTTTCTGCACGTTAATTTTGATGCAATTTTGTTAGGTCCCATATGATGTCATGAAAATATTTTGTTAATTTTGAAAAAGTTGAGATGGCCAATATCTAATTAGCATATTTGGGCAAAAAATGATTATATAATTGTTTTAAACGGTAGATATTCAGATGAAAAATTGCAACCCACTCATTACACATCATGCGATAGACCAAATGAAGGATATTGGAATGTAGAATTTAAATCTGAAATGAAAGAAATCAAAGATCAGGGAATGGAAAATTGAGATATCATTGTTTTTGTTATAAAATTTGTAAATTTTTCATGAATTATAAAAAAAATTTTTTTATTTAACTCATTAGCACCATATCTAACACCAAAATACTAGAATTCGTTTAAAAATGTATTCTGAAAATAGATTTAAAATTGAGCTGTTGGTTCTTGAAATAATTTTAGCCCATGTCATAATTCCATATTGTGTGTCTGAGTACAAGTAATATGCAATGAGCTGTGTGTGGCTGTAATACAATCGTTTCCCATTCATTTGATTGTATCGGCATTATTTTCAGGTTTCTCATGTGAGTGACAGGGTAGAACAAATATCGTTTGTTTTAATATTATAACTTTTAGTGTTCCTTGCACAATGCAAAAATCTGCTTCACTGTTACACAATTAATTAATGCTATGAAAGTACAAAAGTACTGTAAAATACCCCGTTATTTTATTTTAGCTGAAATTAATTTTCGCTCAAAAGATTTTTCAGGTGCAGAGTATAAGAGTAATTTTCACTGACTTTTGATAAGTTGAATGTAAAATGTAGGAAAAAATGTATATTTCCGGGATTTTATGGAATCATGGAATCATCCCTTCAGTAAAAATAGTGAAAATTAATTCCAAGCGAAAATAAAGTATTTTACAGTAGCAATACCTAGCAAAGTATATTATATATAAAGAACTGAAGTGAAAATCAAGAAAAAGGGGATGATCGTAGTAAGTTTCATCAACCAAGTCTTTTTAGAAAGATGTTCTAAGTGTAGATTAGGCAGGAAATGTGTTAAAAATATCTGTAAAATTAGGCTGAAGAAGTACATGTAAAGCAAGTGAATCTGAAGACGCTGCTTAATATTCACAAATCAGCCATATCTAAGATAATCAATAAGTCTAGGAACATAATGTAAACAGCAAGTGTATGTATTCTTGTTATTCAATTTCATAGCAAATGAAATGCCCACTAACACCAGTTCTTTGAATTAGCAGGACAATAGTCAAATGACAGATGAATTTAGGTCAAATGAAAGTAAGAAGCCAATTGGAATGTGAATGTGTTTAATAAGTTTTCACATTTTTTCTATTTAAAAAACATCAAAAGAATGTGGAGAAATAGTATTGTAACTTTATATAGCTTTTGTGTATTTTTCTATTTTTATCAATGTATATCTTTTTACTCTTTTCCAAGCCCAGACTATGACATGTACAAATAATAACAAATAATTTAATACCAAAACATTCAAATTTAAAATCTGTTTTCAGAATACTTTTCTGTATAAAAATAACTTTATTTTTAAATATACTCCCGGTAGGTTTGTATTGGGTACAGTGTGAAAAAATTCTGAAATTTCTTAAATTTAAAATTAAAAATCGTAAATTTTCCAAAAAATATTACCACATCTTAAATAATATTTCTCCTAGTAGTATTTATAATTTTAATGTCTATTTGAATTTTACATTGAAATATCTTTCATTTGATATATAACGCAATGATTTTTTAACATTTTCTGAACAAATATCAATAAATTCAGACAAATGCATCATTGTTTGCCTAAGTATGCAAATTACATATAGTTCATCTCTTTTTTTCAATCTTAACATTGTTTTTCCGATTAGATGACATCATAGACAATACCTTGCTTGAGAGTCTGTAGAGGTATACAGTACTCTGTGTAACCCATGGCTATACTAGTTTATGAATATGTGAATTAACCCTATATACTGTACATTTTAATGCAAACAACTGAAAAGAATGATTTTTTTTCCCTACGTTTAATATGATTTTATGTTATATTGGATAAGATCAAAAACACTTAAAAAGCAATTGTTTTACCCCTCAAGAACTTGAGTGGACTAATGAAGCTGACCAAATCTTACCAAATTTTTTTTAGACACAATTCCATTGGCAAAGTGATCCTCAAATAATTTATGTCACGTAAAATGCAAAGTGAAAACTAAAGGTCGAGTAATCGCCATTTCATTGAAATTGATCATGTGACAGGAACCCTTGGAAAGTTGTCATCTTGTACCATAATTCCTGAGGATCGCTAGACAAAACTGCGTTTCAATAGATGGAGTCCAAACTAGTGCAACCATAAATTTCATACTGATGAATTTTATTTTTAGTTCACAGATAGATAATAAGAAATTCAATCCAGCAAAAACAGAAGTTTCTATGAAACTTTATATAAATCAAGTAAAGAAACACAAAAACTTTATGTGGTTTACAGCTATGAATCTTGTACAAGTAAGTAACCATTGATAGCTGTATGCTGTTGATTTTAAGAATGCATGTATTATGCATGAAGATTTCCATGTCTACATGGACCAATGTATTGGGGTGACTGTGTGGCATCTACCAATGTGTGAGAGAGAGAGTAGGGCATAATGATGTGATTTCTCTGTGGGACAACCCGGCAATGACAGGGGATGTATACTGGTAGTATATACAAGTATAGAAATGCAACATACTAGTAACATGCTGAATGGAGATGACATATTTTAGGCAGTATGATATACCTGTACAACATATTCGGCTTAGGCCACATTTATTATCTCTGACATGTATTGGGCGGGGATATAGTGGTCATCATACATATACATATTGCAATAGAATCGTCTTATTATTTTAAGATATTCAGTCTGATGGATAACTTGAAGATAAACAATAAATCCAAATTCTATATAAATACCACCTGTCTATAATGGTCACTTGACACAGGTTTGAATGTCACTATACACAGGTTTCAGTGCCCTTGGGTGGTCAATATACATGGGTTTGAATGTCCTTGGTGGTCATTATACACAGGTTTCAGTGACCCTTGGGTGGTCACTATACACAGGTTTCAGTGTCCCTTGGGTGGTCACTATACACAGGTTTGAGTATCCTTGGATGGTCACTATACACAGGTTTCAGTGTCCTTGGATGGTCACTATACACAGGTTTCAGTGTCCCTTGGGTGGGTCAATACACACAGGTTTCAGTGCCCTGAGGTGGTCACTATACACAGGTTTCAGTGACCTTTGGGTGGTCACTATACACAGGTTTGAGTATCCTTGGGTGGTCACTATACACAGATTTAAGTGCCTTTGGGTGGTCACTATACACAGGTTTAAGTGCCCTTAGGTGGTCACTATACACAGGTTTCAGTGACCTTTGGGTGGTCACTATACACAGGTTTGAGTATCCTTGGATGGTCACTATACACAGGTTTCAGTGTCCCTTGGCTGGTCACTATACACAGGTTTCAGTCAGAGTGTCCCTTGGGTGGTCATTACACACAGGTTTCAGTGCCCTGAGGTGGTCAATATACACAGGTTTGAGTATCCTTGGGTGGTCACTATACACAAGTTTGAGTATCCTTGGATGGTCACTATACACAGGTTTAAGTGCCCTTGGGGGGTCACTATACACAGGTTTCAGTGTCCCTTGGGTGGTCACTATACACAGGTTTGAGTGCCCCTGGGTGGTTACTGGGGTAGTCAATACACACAGGTTTCAGTGCCCCGAGGTGGTCAATATACACAGGTTTCAGTATCCTTGGGTGGTCACTATACACAGGTTTCAGTGTCCCTTGGGTGGTCAATACACACAGGTTTCAGTGCCTCGAGGTGGTCAATATACACAGGTTTCAGTATCCTTGGGTGGTCACTATACACAGGTTTGAGTGTCCTTGGATGGTCACTGTACACAGGTTTCAGTGCCCTTAGGGACGACGTCAAAAGATTGATGTCGGATAAAAAACTTATTTCCTTTGGGGGTAGGGGGTTTTGACCTCAAAAAGTTTCCATCCTACAAAAACGATTTTATTTTTTACTGAAGTCAAAAACATCTTGGAGTATTTGTAGTTTTTTTTTTTTCTATCCAATCATGGACAGAAATAACCGAAAAAGGAAAAAAAACACAGAAAAATGGTTTGGTTGGAGTGTAAATCTGTGCGTCAAATGAGGTGCATTTGTAAAATCTTTTTACACCCTCCTGACAACCAACTGCTATGCAATACTACTGTCCGATTATCAATTTGTATTTAATGGTGAATGCAGTCTGACGCCATGATCAATATTTATCAATTAAGTTTTAGTAGGGGGGTTTGGAAAAAAACTAAAGGAATTAAGTTTTTTTATCCGACATCGTTCTTTTGACGTCGTCCCTTAGGTGGTCACTATACATAGGTTTGAATATTCTTAGGTAGTCACTATATACAGGTTTCAGTGCCCTGGGGTGGTCAATATACACAGGTTTGAGTATCCTTGGATCATCACTATACACAGGTTTCAGTGTCCCTTGGGTGGTCACTATACACAGGTTTCAATGTCCCTTGGGTGGTCACTATACATAGGTTTTAGTGCCCTGAGGTGGTCATTATAAACAGGTTTCAGTGTCCCTTGGGTGGTCACTATACACAGGTTTGAGTGTATCCAAGTATTCATACACTAATGACACAATTTTGTTTACTCCACAGGTATTCCACTGTCATTTCAACAGCAATTTCTTCCCAATATTTCTTGAGAATCTCCTTGGTAATCATATCACTCCACTGGTGGCCAGTTTACTACTCGGTACATCGTTTATTATCCCACACATCAACAATTTATATTTCCTATCCCTATGTAGACGATATGGAGTTTATTCTGTCGTCAAAGGATTGTTTTTTATCAAGCTTTTACTAAGTATATGTATGCTGGCAGCTGGTCCCAGATATGTTATTTTACTTTGTCTTTTCATTGCAAGGTAAGTCATTACTATTATATATGCATGTATGCTGTTTCTCTAACTTAAATGGTGTTGGTCGTTGCACTGTGCATGTGCGACATTTGTGTTGATAAACATTGATTTTCCCACTATCCAATGTGCTCTTCTAATGGAAATCACAAATGCAAGTTTTGACCTGGGCATGACTTGCACTAATTACCGCCAATGACTCCTTCGATAGCTTCAAATCACTTAAAAATTACCCAATTAAAGCTTGGTAACGTCTGTACTGAGTCAAAGTCGCCATCTTTGTTTGAGACCCATATATCTTGCGCATGCGTGGTGCGATGACTACCGCCCTTTAAATCTTACAAACAGGATCAGAGCTTCCGAGGCAATTACACAATTTTCTCTTAGAGATGATAAGGCCTAGGAAACAATACAACAGTTTCTGTTCAATTTGTATTCTAAAATTGACACAGGTGTGTTTTTATTTTCCATAAAAAATACATGTTTACTTTTTTAGCTCCGCTGTCGACTTTGTCGAGCGGAGCTTATCATATGAGTGATTGTCCGTCGTCGTCCATCGTCTGTGTCAATGTTTTACTTTTCCGACTTCTTCTTGAAAACTACAAGCCTGAATGCTTTGATACTTGGTGTGTATGTACCTTGGGTAGACCTCTTTCAGATTTGTTCATTTCTCTAATTTTGGTGAATATTTTTGTCATTTTTGGTAAAAAGTGATATTTTTGACTTCTTGTTAAAAACCGCAAGTCCAATTGCTTTGATATTACATGTATAGGTACTACATGTGGACCTTTCTCAGATTTGTTCATTTTGTAATGATATCTTTAATTCTCTAATTTTGGTGAATATTTTTGTCATTTTTGGTAAAAAGTGATATTTTCTTCTTGTTAAAAACCACAATCATTTATGGTGAAAAATGATATTTTTGAATTCTTGTTGAAAACAGCAAGTTCCATTGCATTGATACTATGCATATTGTTCATTTTTTAATGATATCTTCTGTTCATCGTTAACAGCGAAGCTATCTCAGCCGAGAGGCTGCTTGTATAAAAATTGCATCTTTTTTTTTATTTTTTTCCAAAAATGCCGACAACATATTAAAAACATCAATTTAATTGATCTGTATGGTGACCAGAAACATTGAAATAGCGTTAATCAGCTTTCATTCAAATTCAAATATTCAACTGTAATTGGCTCAGGAGTTCAATAATGTCTATGCCCATCTAATAGTGGAACCAATCAGAAAGAAGCTTGCATGTTGACAGGTTTTATCAACAAATCAAATCATGTCTTGTATAAACGCTTCAACCATAATTGGCAGCCATTTATGTAAATATATTCATTTGATTACAGTAACCGTGTATTTACAGAAGGTACATGTAAATTATTAAATTTGGTGGTCAGTGACTTAGTAGACGAAGATTGTGTCATACACCATAGAAAACAAGCCGTGTCAGCGTTAGTATTTGGAACATCAGCACTGCTATCAAAACCAGGACAGACATTGGCGCCATTAGTTGGAACCTGGCTACTCTCATCACAAACAGGTATTCATACTGCTTATATAATACATCAAGATAGAAAATGCGTACAAATAAAAATGTATGTATTACAGTTGTAATACTTATCTTACATTACATGTGTACACACACACAGATAGATCACATTTATTTCATTTATTACAAGAATTTTAAAATTAATTTACCCAAAAGATCCAAAACATGTGCATTCTTATCAAAGAGCATATGTAGGTCAAGTGGGAATGAATAAAATCAGTGAATGTAAAATTATTATAATGCGTAATGTTGAATTGATTTCTTTTTAGGTCATGATATTTTCCAGTCTGGACATGAAAGTGGATCAATACGACTTTCGCAATCATCCAGTGCAGACGATAAAGCTATGGTTGAATGGGGATGTTTCCAATGTCTTGTATTTGTGCCAATTATATGTGCTATAATACAGCTTATAGCGTGGTCTCAGTTTACTCTCCGTGGTCGTCGATTACAGTGGGTCAAATCAGTCAGGGCTGGATCCGGATTTTGTGATGTTTAAAAGAAATATTATAACAGATATATATTTTTAAATTGTGATTTTATAAATTTTATGTACAAATAATATTAGCAGTTTAATTAGATGTAATGAATTTTTATTAATTTTAAAATATTTTTAATTTCCAATTCTGGATCTATTGACTTAGCTGTACTGTTTGCCATACAACTTAGCAGTTCACTGATGACGACAGATTATGATGAAAAAGATTTGGTAGATGCTGCGTTTGGTTTGGCGTATGAGCAAACCACTCTATATAAAAAGATTCACAGGGTATCGAGGTGACCTACAGTCACTCTGAATAAAAATCAGATTTTTTCGGATTTAGATGAAAATGAAAACCGAAGAGACACTGACATCATTCATTCGGATGTGATCGTTGTCTTATTCTGCTACCATAAAAGTGACTTGGCAAGGTTACTTGGAGTTTGAACAGTATTTATTAAGTATTTGGAAATTAGCTTTAGTGCAGAACTAGTTTCTAGTTTCTGGCAGAACTAGTGAAATTTGAAAGTTACCTTGCCCTGATGTGTGATACGCCATTTTGAAAAAAAGTTAAACAACCAAAAATAATTAAACATAGTGATATTACTAAAAAACTACTAACACTGTAGACTAAAAATAAAAATTGAAAGAAATAAAATATATGAAAAACAAGTTGTGCATTGGTTAAGTGTTATGGTCTCAAAATCATATTTTTTTTTTCTTAATTTGGCCAGTGTTATATTCATTGCAATATTTATATTGATCATTATAAATTTATTTTGTTATAAATGTGTTATATAGTATAATTTTGTATCAGTAAAAAAAGGACAGATCATGATGAAATTATAATCATTTTTGAACAAGTCTGTCATAATCTAATTATCTTGTTAACATTTCCATATAAATACCAGATATAGAGTAAAAGAAATACAATTATGTCAATGAGTGCAAATGTCATGTGAGACCCACATTTCTACAGAGAAACAAATTGATGAATAATATGAAGTTCTTACAAAGATAATGCAAAGTATGCACGAAGACAGTACGGCGGGAGTATCGACTGATGCTCCCACGTACTGTCTGAGTGCATACTTTGCAGTATCCTCGTAATAACCTTACTATTATACATCTTTTCCTCCCAGGGACACATCATAGCAATGCCGAAATCCAATATGTTTTAGAAGAGATTTAGCAAACTTCTTTGTGTGGGGCCCGTCAAACCCTCGGGCCGTGATGTTTGTTTTTTAATTATTAGAGGACGCTCATGCGTGTAATCATTCCATATTTGGAATTCACGTTTCCTAATATGGTACGATCAAAATACCCAGTGCAGTACCGCAAAATTACAACACGCTGCAACATATGGCGTTACGCTGACAGATGTATAATAACAACTATTTTTCACAATAAACAGTAGACTGTCACAATTTGTAAATAAGATATTCATTTACACATGCTGCACAGCCATGATCTTTTAACATTTGTAAACAACAATTTTGTGACATTAGTGTCTTATTTTGATATAGATAGAAAAATTGAAATCATCTCTTAGTAGTCATAGAAAGCTAACTATTTCAGTCAAATTCATGGAATCCGCAGAAACTATCGTTATTGATTAGTGGTAATATGACAATTTTAACATTTTGCAAATTTCAAAGGTCATAATAATAAACTTCTTGCATCCTTAGAAAAAGTTTCCATTGATTGACAGAAATACAATGTTAGTAATAAAATACAATACACACATTATATATTACTAAAAGTAAAAATGTCATTCATTGCTATTTCTAATTTGAAATGTATTTCACAATTGCCTTAAAATAATTATTGCATTATTGTATATTTTTTACACATAAAGGACACAACACACTCTAGGTGTAACATTTTTTGTACTGCTTAGACCCTTAAGTTAAGGCAAAAATAATTTATGAGCAACTTTCAGTAAATGTAATAATCCAGGACTCCCAAGTATTAATGTCAGACCCTCATTTTAATCCCAGCACACTAACATATGGAAATAAGAATGGCATATAATGGTATATAAATCTCCATTAGAAGCTAATGATAATACCCGGTATATTCAAATCTGGGACACTTTGAACCTTTGTCACTTTTCTCAACATGTTGACCTGTTGGTAATGAAAAATTATGTCCATTTGCTCCAAAAAAAAATATCAGAGAATTACAGAAAAATGTTCTACCGGTAAATGAAAATAGACCTTAAAAACAGGACAAACAAAGGTCATAGTGGCATCAGAACATCCATTAGATTCATCCAACGCTAAATTACTTTGATGTAATAATGTGTTGTACACATTTGATGGTCAGTTTTGATGAAGTAAGGATATCTCAACGCCATAATCCTCTCTGAGGGATGCGTATTTCAACATCCAAATCAAATTTTTTTTTTTTCTGGCAGACGTTCGGTCTGTGCCTTTCATGCATTACGCAGGATCTTGCAGTGAGTGGAAATTCACCTTTTGGTGTACAAAGGCCTAACATTTTTTTCTGCACTTTTATTTTTATATTCTTCAATATTTCTGGAAATGAATGCTAATTTTGGAGGCAACAGATGAAATTTGAGTCAAGTTTCAGTTTTTACTCAAAAAATATGTCTATTTTTGTCCCAATCTTCTGAAGGAAAGTGTAGACTATAAACGGCACTATTTTGTAAACTGCGATGAAAAGTGGGAACTGGTGGTGAAAAGGTTAAACAGGTTCAGGTTGCTTCAAAGATGTCACCACAAAGAAACATGCCATTTGTTTTTAAAATAAAATGCCACGATCGTTGCTGTGTCAAATTGAATATGAATTTCATGCAATGTATACTATGGAGAGTTGATCCAACTGTTGACTGCTAAACACATGGCCAGAACAACAGGTCACATGACCAAGAGTGGTAAAAGCATGGAAATGTTTTTGTTTACACATGCTACGCGTCATGACAAACAATCAACCAAGTTCAATACCGCTGAGGGCAAACATTTTCTGAAGAGGAATTCCAGGGTTTCCTTTGCTGTACATACGAACAGTTTCAAATACCGGCTCCATTTGCATATCTTTGGTTAACAGGTGAATGAATGATGGGTTGTCTATTGGTGAATCAATGTAGATATCAGCATTTGGTACCAATGCAAATAATGTAAGTAGTAATGCCTGGGTTAATGCTGTATTATCTGCATACAAGGGACCAATTAAAAAACCTTCAATGCATGGTCTAATTACGCCATATCCTAAAATACGTCCTTCTGCAATAAAAGAAAACTATGGGTTAGAAAAACTCCTCACTGATACCAATGTAGTGAAAATACACAAAATATTTCTAGAACACTTCCACATGTAGTTTGTTAATTATGTCAGAGTATATATACCACAATATTGCTATTGTCGTAATCAATTGGTTTGAGAAACTCTACTACAGTATGTAAAGCGTACGAATCTGGGTGTGATTCTCTCGAATCAAATTTTAGTAAACCTCTAAAGAATGTGCCCAATCAGCTTATGGCAATGGAAATAAAATGAAAAGATAGGATGTCAAAATGATAAGGAGGAAGCATATTAAATCAAAGGATCAGCCAAGGTATAGTGGTGAGATACTGTTAGTCTACAAAATAGGTCTCTATTTGTGGCCCAAAATACATAAATACATGTCAGAATACTGCTAGTATGTCAGAATACTGTTAGTATGTCAGAATACTGCTAGTGTGTCAGAATACTGCTGGTATGTCAGAATAGTGCTAGTAAGTCATAATACTACTAGTATGTCAGAATACTGTTAGTAAGTCAGATACTATTAGTATGTCAGAATATTGCTAGTATGTCAGAATACTGCTAGTATGTCAGAATATTGCTAGTAAGTCAGAATACTGGTAGTATGTCAGAATACTGCTAGTAAGTCAGAATACTGCTAGTATGTCAGAATATTGCTAGTATGTCAGAATATTAGTAGTAAACTGTAGCCAGGGTGAAATGCCATCTTGTACATATTATTAAGCTGCATGACTGTCACACGCAACGTAATATTACCGTAATTGGTATAGTACAGGTGTGATTGTTCAAATACCAAAATGGCAACAGTAACAGAAAGACTTCCCTGGCAGCGATGATAAAATATGAACATGGAGCCAACAGATGAGGTTTCAACTGGTACTGGTATTATTATACTCTGCAAACATCAAGTACAATAACGTGGTAAAACTCCACTACTCCAATAACTAGATACTTAAACTCCAATACAATTCAACGAGATCTCCGATCTGATCTCAGTGCTGAACAACTCCCCTATATATACCCACACTGTCTATAAATAGACCATTACATCAGCATACATAATGAGTCTGGAACTTACTACAAATTTCTAGAATGTTCCATTACCTTCTACAGTGTCCTATTACCTATTCAACCAACTTCTAAAAATTCCACCCAGACACAGTACGGTTCTAGAACATTCTCAGTCACACGGAAGTGGTAAACAAGTCGTATGCGACAATGACCATATGTTGTGGTCAGTGCACAAATTAGACCTTTCAATATTTCATAAATGTCAGTATTGTTCACCAACCTTTGATTGCAGCATATGCCCCTCCTGGTTTTGGTGTGTTAGACCATCTCTGTATTAACAATCTTCTTTCCACAGTTGATACTTTACAATCGTATTCCACCATATCATTGAGTGACAGTCTTGTCAATGGTCTGATGTGCTCTGTATTTATGAACTCAGCCAATAAGGAACTCCCTAAACCTTTATATCTACAGTTCCTCCAAGATTCCGTAAAACCTTTCTTTTTTAATTCTTCTAATTGCGATGGTTTAATATCAATTCCAATGTTGCATTGATTTCCTAAATACCCAACAGCCTTTTGCCACAATTGTTCCTCCACCTCCTTGCCTCTATAATCTGGGTCAATATAATAATATCCAATGTGTCCAAGACTCTCACTGTATTTCATAGCTGACACTGTTCCTATAACTTGCCCAGTGTTACCAACGGCGACAAAAAGTCCCCCATCATTACACATGCTGACAGTCTGACTTTCATATGGAGTAGGACTACTGCCCTCTCTGGCAGCTTGTGGAAGTATAGACATCACCTCAGCGAGAGGCATGGGTGCCACTCTCACTGAGCTGCATAAATGTCTTTTAGGTAGGAATGTCTTCCAAGTAAACCTCCTCAAGGAATAACGTATTAGGTGTGCTACCAACATTTCTATAACAAAAACATTATTGCAGATGTAATTTATTATCACAAACGTCTATGTTTGTCTTTCATGCTTTCAGTATGTCTATTAATGTCCAGCTATGTTTGCTAGGGTGCTACTAAATGGGGTATATTTGCTCTATTAGAAGCGCAGCTCCACTAGAAGTTCCAAGAACATCAGAACTAAATCAAGATCCCAAACTAAACAAAACAAAATGCCAGAACAATTTCTAAAGGGTGGTGATTCAATATGGGATTCACAGTGATGTGTAAATGCAATGTTTGTTTACATGTAATTCGAACACGGGCCGCGAAACAACCAACGATTAACCATGTGTGATGGTTATAAACGCACTGCTATGAAATGTATGTATCTATAAATAGATACACTTATGTCTACACTCATTTCGGTTTAACCATGGATGTTGCCCATTAATGGCTTTTAAAGAAATATTCATAAAATTGTTACCTTCTAGAAGACACAACTTTCATTGGCTGAAGAAGCCATTTGGTAATGCCCATTACCCATGAGTCTTCGTGGGTCTTATTGGTTAATTTACTGCAATGCTTCGGCTAAGATGTTGTGATTGGCCAATTTGTTTTCAACTGTCATTTGAAATTAATAAAATTATTACAGAGGGGGAGGGGCAATTTACATTTACAGTGTATTTGTAAATGTTTAGAATGTATAGTTTCAAATTCAAATGAGAGGTTGTGATTCACTGTATGTGGCAAACTGATCACATATTGGACGACTTTGACATCATATTGAACTTGCTTTCATCTTCACTAGTGACGTCAAATTCACAGTAGCTGTGATTGGTTGACCGGTTTTCAAAATGTTTTTAAAAATGTATAAATTAACCATAAACCACATCCATGGGTTAGCTGAAATGAGTGTATACCAGGCATAACCCCATATTATAATTCCTGATTCAAATATAATACCGGTACGAATTAAGAAGTGAATATTTAATTTCCTTAATCTGTGCTTATACTTACAGCGGTTCAGAGTGACGTCACTAATAACAATCACCTCGTACCAGTTGTGAATGTATTATAGTAAATTAAAACAATAATTACCGTGTACCCCACAAGATGCTGTTCAATGACCTTTGTGACCTTTGTAGAAACGACTACCTAGCTTTATATAAATTTTTACATCACATCACATCACATAACGTAGTAACAGTATAATTGCGTTGGTGTCAATATTTATTAAGTTTGTATTGCAATGTATAATGACACACTCTACGTTTCATACAAAATGGTATGTAGACAATAAATCAGGAGAGTATCACGAAGTGTTGTTTGGAATATTTATTACTAAGATAAGGGGTTATGAAAATGGCCGCCACCATCTGAAAACGTGCATCGCGTTTACCGGTAATTTCAAAGAATAAAACGCGTTTTTAACACAATGGATATCGCGGATAGTAGTTCCGACGTCATCGCCAAAAGACCCAAATCGTCAAGAAATGACGATGACTATTTTAGGTCCTACGCTGATCTGGCTGTCCACGAAGAAATGCTGCGGGACACCGTGCGAACAAATGCCTACAGAATTGCCATTCTTGGATGTTGTGACCAAATCGCAGGAAAAGTTGTCGCCGATATTGGCGCTGGTACCGGTATATTGAGCTGTTTCTGTGTTCAAGCAGGAGCGAAGAAAGTGTACGCCATCGAAGCTAGTGGTATCGTTCACCGTGCCGCTGAGGTTGTTAAAAGTAATAACATGGAAGATAAGATAGAGATTATACGGGGCAGAGTCGAGGAAGTTGAACTGCCTGAGAACGTTGATGTGATTGTCAGTGAATGGATGGGATATTTTCTATTATACGAGTCTATGTTGGGCTCAGTAATATATGCTCGTGATAAATGGCTGAAAGACACTGGTATTTTGCTTCCGAACACTGCTTCCATTTATATGGCCCCGTTGACATGTCAAGAATATGGGGAGGAATGCACCGGAAGCAGCAATGAACAGACTGACGCCGTACTGGTTGATACTGTAGAGATGCAGGTGAAATTTTGGGAGAGTATGAAACAATCGTATGGCGTTGACATGTCGTGTATAGCAGGCTATGCAAAACAGAATTTCCTTTCAAGGGTTCATCTAGGTACAATTTCCCCTCAATACCTTCTCTCACATCCCTGTAAAGTGCTAGAAATTGATATCAAATCCATAACTCAGACTGATCTGAATAAACTGACAGGAAATTTTAAATTCCAATGTTTTGGAAATGCTAATATATATGGTTTTGCGGGATGGTTTTCTGTGTCCTTCCCTTGTATGAAAGATGTTAAAATTTCAACATCACCATTAAGTCATCCAACTCACTGGCAGCAATGTATATTGTATATAGAAAGCCCCACGAGAGTCGAACAAGACACAGTAATTGAAGGAAATGCAAGTTTTATGCAAAATAAAACAATGGGACGATTCCTTGATGTGTCTCTACAGTATTCAGTTGGTGAAAAAAATCATGGAATCAGGCATTTTACTTTAGATGATTTATGTATCTCTTGAACAGAATGAAAACAATTAAAATAAAGTGCCACACTTGTTTTGCACCTCATTGTGTTTGGTATGGATCCTGTGTGGTGTATACCTGTGTATTGTTTACATGCAATTCAAGTGTGGAGTCACTTTAAGATTTGTTTGAATAGATGTAGTAGTCTGTCATTACCAGGGGTTTTACAAATACATTTAATAGCAGGCCATCATCCTGTAACAACAGGCCAAAAATAAAATAATAAGGCTATCGGCAGAGCGAAGTGCTGAAGTGAGACCGGCGTAGGCGGTCGGGAAGGGCAGAATGTAGACGGCCAATTTGGGCTTGTAGCATTAAAGAATCCGAACTGATACTTGCATGTATTTACTAAATGACAAATACCAACCCATATGGGAGATGCATTAAAGGGTGGTGGTCGTCATGCTGCTCATGTGCGACATTTGTGTTGATAAACATTGATTTTCCCACAATACAGTGTGCTCTTCCAATGGAAATAACAAGTATGAGGTGCGATGACTACTGCCCTTTAATCACTGTTCAGATGGCCATCATGTATAAACGCAACACTCTGTATTACAAGATGTGATTCACTGTTTTAATGATGGCATTTGTAATGTTCACTTCTCCAGAATTCTGCTCTCACTCTCCAAACTTAGCTTTTTACAAAACAATCTGTTTACAGTGTCTTTGTCTTTTGTTTGGTTGACGGAGCAATCATGAATGAAGATAGCTTATCCATTGAGCAGATCGTGCAGTGTTGATACTTTAGCTGAGAAAAGCCATTATCTGCATTCAGTTCAAATGTATCTACGGTACACTCGTTCCAATGCTCATTTTTTTCCCTTGGTGAGATCAACTAATTTACTACGTGTCCAACATTGAACATGTTATGGGTATTAATGGTAGATTTGAACTATATTCTTTGTTTACATTGGATGCAGAAGTGCTATAAATGTACAGTGCAACACATTTTTTTTTAGAACACCTTTGCCTATTATCATTACATTTAGAGACGATTAGAATTATCAGAAGAATGATTCAACATGTGTATTCATTTGCAGTATTCTGTAATACCAAATTCTTGTAAATGTCATGCGACCGAATGTTTCAATTAACAACTTTGTACCACAGCAATCCAACGAAAACTCCAAATAAAAGACACAGACTCTTTCGTCCCATTGATGTGATTTATTTGCATGAATGCAAAGGCTCTATCAAGTACTTTGTCATATACATCATCACATGACTAAATGTATTCTGTGGATGTAGAGCTATTGAAAACAAATCCCTCATTGAATAGGGGTTATATGTACTGACTCTTGGTATGAAAGTTTTTATTCAAACCCTTGGCCAACTTTTTAGTCCCAGTTTGGACGCAGTCCGAAAACAGGGACCTCCGTGTGTGTGTATGTGTGTGCGTCCGGACCTGTATCTTAAAAATGCCTGGACCAATCACAATCAAACTTCACACATACATCATACATGATATTATAAATATGCACATCAATTTGTTTCCTGATCTGATTGAAGATGGCCGAATGGCGGCCATTTTTGTGCTAAAAATCATCAAATTCAAGCATTTCTCGGCTGTTTACAGTTGGATTTAGTTCAAACTTGGTATATACATATGACCTTGGTGCACATCGTTTTGTTTTACGATCTGATTCAAGATGGCTGAATGGCGGCCATTTTTGTGCTAAAAAATCCTAAAAATCAATCACTTCTCGGCTGTTTACAGTTGGATTTAGTTCAAACTTGGTATATACATTAGACATTATGGGACCTTGATGCAAATAATTTTGTTTTTTAGATAAGATTCAAAATGGCCGACTGGCAGCCATTTTGTTTTAATGAATGTGGTTCTCATGCCATATCTCTGACTTGCTTTCAATGATTATGTTCAAATTTTAAATATTCATTATACATCATGTCATAGATAGACAGATATATTGGTTTGACGATCCTATTCAAAATGGTCGAATGGTGGTAATTTTTGTGCTAAAAATCATCAAATATCAAGTATTTATGGGTGGATTTTGTTCAAACTTGATACATACATTAGACATTACGGGTTCCTGATGCTCGTCATTTTATTTTTCAGATTGGATTCAAAATGGCTGACTGGTGGCCATTTTGTTTTAATGATTGGGCTTCTAGAGCCATGTCTCTTAAATGCTTTGACTTATTATATTAAAATTTGATATGTTCATTATACATCATGTTATATATATACATGAATTCAAAATGGTTGATTTTGAATGCTGTTCCAGAGCAATATCTCTCAATATGGACAAGTACTTGTTTGACGATCAGATACAAATGTCAATCATTTTAATGTTAAAAAATCATATTCCTGACATGGTTATATTCCAACTATATTACTATAAACAAGACTATACATCTTAAATTTGATAACTAACTGGGACTGTGGCTTGTTAACTCTGTAGTCAATCAGTCAATAATTAGTCCAATCTCCTACAGAGTCCGATATGGAGGACTATTAATTTGAGGATCGTGAGCTTTGACCAAGTTCGTTTAGACTTAACATACAGATAACTTATCATGACTTACACATGCACGTCAATTTTTATGACAATTTGATGAAATATAGCTGACTGGTGGCCATTTTGGGCCTAAATTTTGATATATCTTGATATTTCCTGAAATGAAATGTTTCTCAGAGATAGACATGTTGATTTCATTCAAACTTTGTATCATGATCATGCATATTGGGTTACAGGTGCATGTCAATTTGTTTTTGAGATTTGAACAAAATTGGCCGACTGGCAACCATTTTGTTTTATTCATGTCTGTGCGAATTCCTTACCAATGTATCGTCTGATTCATATTAAAGTTTGCACACAAATACTATCCTCACGAATAGTACTGTAAGTTTTTATTTTGTGATTCAATCAAATTTGACAAGTGCTTGACTAATACTAATGCGAGCACTAACAACTTTATTCCCCTGCCCAAAGAATGTTTGATATTTTACTGCCTACAATATGTATCTGACATGTTGGAGTTTTAATCTTTGATTCTGCTTCCACAGTCTTCTGGCTGTGTGTATACAACCTTTGCAAGGACATTATGATTATTTCAAGATCAATTTTACCAACTAATTAGGTGAAGATGTGACCAGCCTGCCAAGTTTGAGCAAAATCGGCCGAGCCCAAAAAATTATGTGAAAACACCGGAAAAATCACACGCGCGCACACACACACACGCACAGATGTGATTTTAAGGGCAATTCTTGTGAGTGGATCAGCAAAAAAAATGCAAGATAGACTATCACGATGAAGTGTAATTTTTTGAAACAATGTAGGGCATATGCATTTCTGGGGAGTTTGAAATTGACAATGTTGTCTTTTAAGGAGTCTGATTTAGCACCAGGCCTGATATTGTAATTGACAACTTTGTTGGGCAGCTGGAAGGCTACAAGTTTGAAAAGTTGGAAGGTGGAAATTGTTGGCTGAAATATTTTAAAAGTTTGTTGTACAAGTTAGTTGCAAACTTGACTGAATCATTTGATTTTTTCAAGTTTGCAATATATTTTTGGCACTAACCGTGTGATTTAGACTACTTTACGGGCAACATTTACAACTTTTTCGACTTAGTACGTCACTAACGACTCTTTAAAACAACTTTCTTGCCTATTTGGAATTTCTATGCCCCTTTCTGCCCAGCATTTTCAGTGTTTTCAACATTCCAACCAAGTTTACAACTTTCCAAGACAACTATTCCAACCAGGTTTACAACTTTCCAGGCAACTTTTTCAACATTCCAACCTAGTTTACAACTTGCCAGGCAACTTTTCCAACATTCCAACTATGTGTACAGTATACCCTTGCAACTAACTTACCACATGTGTCTACAATTCTTATTTTTTATTCTCGTCATTCACACGAAAGTTTAATACTTGCTACTTTAAAAAAAATCAGTTTCGGACTTTGTCTAAACAGGGACTTATTGATTTTTTTATTTATTTATCAACGTTTTACAACACAAACATATACTAATACATAGTTATCTCAAGTATAGAAATTTGCAAAAAGAAATTACAATAAAACTATAAAAATGATGGCAATGGGGACATCCACATACCGGACTTCAAGTACAATTTCTATTAGTATCAACAATGTTTGTGGACACATTTCCAAGTATGACTTTATTCTTTATGATTACTATGGTGAATTTGGGTCATTCTCACATCTCTTTGTAAATATTCCATAAGGTTATTACATACACAATGAAAAAATTACTACATGTTACAGCACAAATGTTTTTGTTCTGGATTAAAGTGTTATTAGTGTGAATCATAAGCTTACATGAAATGTATAGTTTGATATGGTTCAAAACTATCCTATGAAAATTTTTATTCTACTTTCTGAAAAACTCTACCTAAGTCCAAACAGGCAATTTTCCTACCTTCCAATTCTTTCAACCATTGCAAACTGCTTTTCAGAAGTTTTGCAACGCCACTGTTCCGCCTTCCAATCTGACTTTTCAAATTTTTAAAAATGAGGTTAGGAAACTTTTCATGCAACTTTTCCACTTCAGAAGGCTAGCTGTGCAGATAATTTTCCATACTTCCCTGCCTTTCACAGCAAATTTTTCAACTTTTCAGTCAACTGTTGAGACATTCGAGGCAACTTTCTTACTTTTGCATCAGCTTTTATCATGATTTAACTATTATTAAAATGCAGACAACTTTCAATTCAGACATTTTTCGCATCTTCAAAAGCGACTTTTTAAACTACATTTGAGACTTTTTAGATTGGTGATTTTTCTAACTTTGTGGACGAAGTTTTTTTCTGACATTTCAGGCAACTTTCCTGTCTTTCAAAGTGAGTTTTCAAATTTTTTATACTACTATTGAAATATTTTAGCAACTTTATCATCATTCATTTTTCAACTTTGCAGTCAACTTTATTTAAAATCTAAACAATTTTGATGCCTTCAAAAACGACTTTTTGAAATTTGCGGATAATTTATGTACGAAAGCCGAGAGGGA